GTGGGCTCAGGGGAAAACCGGTGCAGACAAACCCCAGACACTGGGGATTTCCCTTCTTTTGCCACAGCAGTTTCCTGCAACAAAACAGCAAAGTCCATTAGAGGCCTCCGACCCTTCCATGTTGGAGCATTTGGTTTTGCATGTGATTACAACAGTGTTGTGCTTTCTTCCATCCACCCTGCGCCCGGGCGAGGAGCAGTCACACTGGGTCCACACTCTGCTCTGCCGCAAACTGGAAATATAACACGTCATATCCTTATCCTGAAGGTCACGCAGATGTCCTCTTCTCTTCCCCCACACCGGTAAGCAGCTGCTAGTGCCCTGCTGTCTGGGGTTGTAGTGACAAGGTCCACTCTTTCGCTTGCGGTGGGTCACCGCACAGGGATGCTCCCAGTTTGCCTCACTGGGTTTACACCCTGATGACAACCTCCCCTGTCACTCTGTTGAAGTGGATGGCTCAGGATGCATAGGGGTGAACATAGCTGGCTCAGAGATCAACTTTACAACAATAAAGCATGAGAAGCAAGTGGAGGAGGCTTTGAACCTGCTTTTGGTAAACTCAATTGTTAAGGCAGAGAAAAGGCTGAGGCTGTAGTACACAAAGATGAGCAAGAGAGGCATCAGGGTGATCTGGAGCTCCTTCCAGTGGGACAACACACGCTTTGAAATGATCAATAGCCTATATGCCACCTCTAACACAAAGTGCAGGAGCAGCCCCAAGCCCTGCATCACATCTGCAGCATCTCATCTCTGCATAGCTGTATTCAGGCATCTCAATTGCTCCTCTAACATGTATTTCAGAAACAGAGATGTGAGCTGCCTTATAAGCAACAGAGATAAATCCTCCTCGCACCCCTGCCCCCCCCCAGTCACATCCTTATGTTCTGCAATTTTCCATTGTGCATTAGCTTGACCTTTACAGGATGTCAGTTTAGGAGTAATTTCACCTACTCTCAACTACATGGGGTTGGAGCTTGAGCAAATGATAGCTTCCAGAGACAACTTTCTGGTGCAAATCTCTCTCAAATCCACACCAGGCTTCAGGTATCAAGTTCAGACCTCTGCATGGAGATAGGTGGTCTATATCCCACAGGATCAGGGAAATCCTGCCACAGAGCCAGACAGGGAGCCACAAATATTTCTACAGCAGGAACAGACATCGCCCCTGTTCAGCCCCTCAGCTCAAGACGCAGAAGTGAGGGTGAGTCTGTGGTAGCGATGGTCAGTTAAAATTACTGAAGGAATTGCTTAAGAACACCATGAGGATGCCCACAAGCCTTTAAGGCTAATTAGTTTGAGAGCTCAGAGAGAAGACATGCTTTATTACCCACCGATGTACGTTTAAGATCCCCCATATCCTACCCATCTATGCCCTCCTGAATACATAGATCTTCCCTTTCCCCTCAGGGCAAGCTCTGACCCCATCTTCCCCACCACATTCCTTTCCTTCCTGCCCATTCCTCTCCCTGGAGACTCAATTCCCCTCTGGCCCCAGCCATGTGTCCTCTGCTCCCTCCTGAGCACACTGCCTTCTCCTCCACCCTCCCTTTATCCTCCTTCTGGGTCCTCTGCACATCCCTCCCTGCTCCTCCTTCCCCTTTAATGCACACTCTGATGCCAGGGGATGCCTCCAGGACCCCTGTGCTCCCAGCAGGAGCTGCCCACAGGAGCCAAAGGAGCTCATGAATCACCTTTTTATTTGAAGTGTACACAAGTCACTCACCCAGGTGCTCCCAGTGCCCCTGTGCAGCCCCTGCCTCGACACCCACTGCCATCCATGGCTGTGAGGCACAATAAGTTACCCTTCTCCCCATGCTGTGCTCCCAGGCCCTGGGGGCAGGTTGGCACCAGCCCTGCCAGTGCCCAGGTCACCCAGTGCCCTGCACCAGGGTAAGTGTTCGATTTGGCATCAGGCCCTGCCTGATCCCATTCCCAGCTCCCATTCCCAGCTCCCAGGGCTCAGCACAACATGGCAGCCTCCGACGGCAGTGGGGAGCACCTGCAGGGAAAGGTTGAGCTTGGAATGTCAGGTTGTCAACACTCACACTGCGCCAGGGAAGCAGCAGCAAAGCCACAAGGATCGCTCAGCCCATAGAGGTCTGGAGACTTGCATCCAGGGGGGTCCCCCCCAAGAGGACAAAGCAATGAGCCCCAATGCTGTGCACTGCTCCTCTCCCAGGGGATGCCCAGCAGAGGCAGGCAGCGCTCCAGACCGTACTCACTCCATCTTGGCTTCCAGGTGGTGGACAGTCTGCTTGTCCAGGTAGCGGCAGAAGAGCGAGAGAAGGTTGCTGGGCAAGAAGAGAGGCTCCACCAGTGAGGCCTT